TGTGCGCATGTGCATATGAAGCATAGGTGCATATGTGCATATGTGCATATGAAGCGTGTATTAAGCGGGTACGGCATTACTGTTATGTAACAGAAGACTGCATCTGCTTGCAGATTGCATCTGCTTGCAGATCGCATAGGCTTGCATATCGCATATGCTTGCACATCGAATGTGGCAAATGCTTGCAGATTGCATATGCTTGCAGATCGCATATGTTTGCACATCGAATGTGGCATATGCTTGCAGATCGCATCTGGCATATGCTTGCAGATCGCATATGCTTGCAGATCGCATATGCTTGCACATCGGATGTGGCATATGCTTGCAGAGCGCATATGCTTGCAGATCGCATATGCTTGCAGATCACATATGATTGCACATCGCATGTGGCATATGCTTGCATATGAAGCATTTGTGCATATGAAACACATATGCATATGTGCATATAAAGCATATGTGCATATGTGCATATGTGCATATGTGCATCTGAAGCATATGTGCATATGTGCATATGAAGCATATGAAGCATATGAAGCATATGAAGCTGCACATCGCGTGTGGCATATGCTTGCATATGAAGCATTTGTGCATATGAATCACATGTGCGCATGTGCATATGAAGCATAGGTGCATATGTGCATATGTGCATATGTGCATATGAAGCGTGTATTAAGCGTGTACGGCATTACTGTTATGTAACAGAAGACTGCATCTGCTTGCAGATTGCATATGCTTGCAGATCGCACAGGCTTGCATATCGCATATGCTTGCACATCGAATGTGGCATATGCTTGCAGATTGCATATGCCTGCAGATCGCACATGCTTGCAGATCGCATATGCTTGCACATCGAATGTGGCATATGCTTGCAGATCGCATATGCTTGCACATCGAATGTGGCATATGTGCATATGTGCATATGTGCCATATGTGCATATGTGCATATGTGCACATATGCACATATATATATGTGCATATGTGCATATGTGCATATGTGCATATGTGCATATGTGCATCTGAAGCATATGTGCATATGTGCATATGAAGCATATGAAGCATATGAAGCATATGAAGCATACGAAGCATATGAAGCATATGAAGCATATGAAGCATATGAAGAAAAAAAAAAAGCGCGCAAAAAAAAAACGCGCGCGCGCTGGGGATTGAACCGGCGACGTGGTGGACAGACAGACGGACTAGAGCGTGCTGTTCGCGCGAGTGGGCCGTAGCTCCTGTGCTGGCTGATGGCACATCGCCACAGCATAGCGCGTACGGCATAGTGCGTACGGTATAGCGCATAGCGGCATACGGTATATGCTTGCAGATCGCATATGCTTGCACATCGAATGTGGCATATGCTTGCAGATCGCATCTGGCATATGCTTGCAGATCGCATATGCTTGCACATCGAATGTGGCATATGCTTGCAGCTCGCATCTGGCATACACTTGCAGATCGCATATGCTTGCAGATCGCACATGCTTGCAGATCGCATATGCTTGCACATCGAATGTGGCATATGCTTGCAGATCGCATCTGGCACATGGAATGTGGCCTATGCTTGCAGATCGCATCTGGCATATGCTTGCAGATTGCATATGCATGCAGATGGCATATGATTGCAATCGTTTGGAGGTTGAGGTTTACGTGTCGGGCTTCGTGCGTTGAAATCGAGCAGTTCAATGTGCAAAGTTCAGCAGCTTGCATGATGCTTGCATAATGCAGATCATATGCATACTGCAGAATGCAGATTGCATATGTTTGCAGATCGCATAGGATTGCATATCGCATATGTTTGCACATCGAATGTGGCATATGCTTGCAGATCGCATCTGGCATATGCTTGCAGATTGCATATGCTTGCAGATCGCACATGCTTGCAGATCGCATATGCTTGCACATCGAATGTGGCATATGCTTGCAGATCGCATCTGGCACATGCTTGCAGATTGCATATGCTTGCAGATCGCACATGCTTGCAGATCGCATATGCTTGCACATCGAATGTGGCATATGCTTGCAGATCGCATCTGGCACATGCTTGCAGATCGCATATGCTTGCAGATCGCATATGCTTGCAGATCGTATATGCTTGCAGATCGCATATGCGTGCACATCGAATGTGGTATATGCTTGCAGATCGCATCTGGCATATGCTTGCAGATCGCATCTGGCATATGCTTGCAGATCGCAGCTGGCATATGCCTGCAGATTGCATATGCTTGCAGATCGCATATGCTTGCAGATGGCAAATGCTTGCAGATCGTATATGCTTGCAGATCACATATGATTGCACATCGCATGTGGCATATGCTTGCATTTGAAGCATTTATGCATATGAAACACATGTGCATATGTGCATATGAAGCATATGTGCATATGTGCATATGTGCATATGTGCATATGTGCATATGTGCATATGAGCATATGAAGCAAATGAAGCAAATGAAGCATATGAAGCATATGAAGCATATGAAGCATATGAAGCATATGAAGCATATGAAGCATATGAAGCATATGAAGCATATGAAGCATATGAAGCATATGAAGCATATGAAGCATATGAAGCATATGAAGCATATGAAGCATATGAAGCATATGAAGCATATGAAGCATATGAAGCATATGAAGCATATGAAGCATATGAAGGAAAAAAAAAGAAAAAAAGCGCGCAAAAAAAAAAGACGCGCGCGCGCTGGGGATTGAACCGGCGACTTGGTGGACAGAGAGACGGACGGACGGAGGGACGGCGAATCGGCCTAAGGCCTCCGCTAGACTATTACGTAGTCGCTACGGCTACAGACTAGAGCGCGCTGTTCGCGCGAGTGGGCCGTAGCTCCTTGTGCTGGCTGATGGCTGATTCCTGCATTGCGCGGACCACTATGTGTCGTGCTTGTAAGCCAAACCAGGAATATCCCTGCTGTTTAAAGTTCAAAATGTTACTAGAGTCCGGCTCCACTGTAGTATACTTACCCCAAACAAGAACATATTTACTTAGTATTGATGGAGACATTACTTATTCCCTTCATTACTGTCCTTGCTGTGGTAAAGAATTTCCAGAAGATTTAACTGATAGGTTAACTCATATTGTTTATGAGGAACTAGAGCTGGATGGTTATGATGATCAAAGGCTGCCTGCCCAATTTAAATCGGATGAGTGGTGGCAAAAAGGAACTATGCCGTATTTTTGAATACCCTTATAAATTATTTACCGGATTTTCGCCGTGTGTACTTTTCCTGCTAGATAAAAAATTACTGAACTTAAGGGTAATTATACCAGGTGTACCACAGGAGCGCTTGTACGAACTGGCTCTTTCCGGTACCGGGCTTGCCCTCCACAAGCATCTGCGGCGGGTCGCCAGGGTTGGGCTCATCACGGTGATCGAAGTACCGAGCCATGAGCATGAAGGGCACGGCCTGGTGGGGGGCAAGCGTGAACAGCTCGATGGTGTCGTCGATGCTGGGCGGCTGGGGGAGGTGCACATAGATGGGCATGCGAGCCTGTTCAGTCCGCTCAGGAGTGCCAGGCATGCGCACAATGGCGACCAGGGGTCCGCTGGTGGGGCGGTGCAGCTCGACATGAGGGGTGTCCATCTCAGGTGTGGCTGTCAGTCCCGTGTGGGCGCCCCCATCTGCCTCAACAGTGCCGGCTGCTGCTGCAACGAGATACCGCTTCAGACGCTTGGTCGCTTCAGTCAGGAGGGGCAGGTCCGCTGGCGTGATCCGACGGCTGAAACGATCGCTGCGTGCACCATGGCCGTCCACTAGGGTCGGGGCTCGGCAGCGCCGTGCTGCATCATAGGCATATGCGCCAGCAGCGTTGGTGCAGTCAAACAGGTCCGTAAGAGCGACGGCGGCGAGGTCGGTGCCAGCCGTCGGATACGCCTGACCTGGGATGTACACGAAGTGCTCCAGCTGGTCCTCGGCGGGCGGCTGTGTTTCAGGATCAGGCCTGAGATGCCCGCGGACGCCGTCATCGGCATCTCCATCCGAAGTGCTCGTGCTGTCACCTTCAGGCAACGCGGCTGCTGCCGCTGCTGCACGCTGCTGGCGGCGCCGCTGGTTGTACTCCGCCTGACGGCGGGCTTTCCCAGCGTGGTCCTCTTCGATGTTGTCCAGCAGTACCGATACATACGCCTGGTAAGAGCGACCTGCCTCGGTAGTGCCCAGCTCTGCCCACCAGGTGTCGTAGGCTTCCTTTACACTCAGCCCGGGGGGGATGGGCTGACCCCGGTGAGCTTTGAAAGTACCCAGGACAAACGCGTAGTACTGTGCCATGCCCGCAGCAGAGGTGCCAGGACGGGGCCGGCGGGGAAGAGAACCTCCAAGCTGTACGTAGCGTGGCCGCGGCAGGCGGACGTGGACATGTGTTTTGTAGAGCGGATGCGTGCCGTGGAAGGCCACCAGGCGGGGCAGCTCCGTGGCTGTCTGAGACGTTGGCTGGTCGAGTGTTGCTGCAGCTGTAGGAGCAGGTGGCTCAGGAGGAGGGGCCGGGGCTGCAGTCAGCAGAGGCACAGGGGCAGGCACAGGGGCGGTTATGGGTGTGGCTGGGGTAGTGCGCTTGCGGCGTCGAACTGCCACCGGGATCTGTAGACCCAATCGCTCTCGGTGCGGGTGCTGAGCTGGCGGCACACGTCGGACCTCATAGTTGGAGGCTAGGTTGTACGCGCTGCAGTCCAGGCCGCTGAGTTCTTCCCCCCGCAGCATGTAGCTCTGCACGGCGTTGGTCACCGTGTAGCCCTCCTGCTCCTCAGCCTCCACCAGTACCGCCGCTGTGGTCGCCGCCTCAGGAGATTGCTCGGCGCTCGCAGATAGCGCCGTGAACGCGTCTACCTGCAGGTAAGCGCACTCGAACGTCGCCTCGAAGGTGGAATGACCGTCCAGCTTCATGGCGACAAGCGCCATACCAGCCGTAATGGAAGCGGTCATGCGATGCACGGTGGCACACATGTTGCCAAACGCGGTGGGCCCACTGGCGCCCGGATTCGGTGTCCTTCCAGCTAGCAGGAAATCCTGCACTCGGGTAAGAGCGTTGCACGTCAGCTGCGCCTGGCTATCGTTGATGCTCTTGCCAGTGTACTTCGTGCTGTAGTAGGCAGCGTCGCGGGCGCGGTCAGCAGCAGGCTGCAGCAGCGCACAGTCCCCCCGTTCATCTTCAGGGCGGGCCAGTTGCGCTGCTGCCTCTGCCGTGTAGACGCGATCCACCTCGCACGCCAGAGTAAACAGCTGGTTGCATCCAAATGCCAGCGCTGCAGCTGGCATGTGCGGTACAATGTTCGGGCCCAGTCGCGGCAGAAGGAAGAGACCGCCGGTGCCAATCCACTGGAAGGCGCTGCGCAGGACACGCGGGAACGCCATGCCACAGCTGTCATCTGTGCCACGGCAGCCGTGTCGCTTGCAGGTGTCGTTATGTGTATGAGTAAGCGTGCTGCGAACGACGGCCGCGTGGTGTGCACGGCAGGCAGCGTGCCGGGGAGGCGGCGGGAGTCCGCCACCTGCACAGCCGGCGAGCCTACCAAAATCGTACGCTGCAGGCGGGCAGGACTTGTCCACAGGCGGAGGTGCACGGCCATGCTGCTGGGCCTCTTCGACGGTCATGTCCATGACGTAGTGTTCTGCACCGCGGGTGAAAGGGTCATAGTACGGCGAGGGATACCACATGGCGCACAGGGTGTATGCCAGGGCCAGCGCTCGGCAGTTAGGTCCACTGAACAGCACCTGAAGGCGCTCGACTGCGAACGTGGCCACATGCGCGACGCCGTGGATGTGCAGGGCCAGGCGGCCGCTCTGCTCCACCTTGACTGCCACCTCAAACGTGAGTCCGCAGAAGCAGTGCGGGTTCGTCTGCTGCATGGCGCCCGGCGCGAAGCCGAAGAGCTCCTCCACCAGAACCTCCTTGGTGGCCACCAGCAGGGCGGCGCAACTGTACGGGTCATCCTTCACACGCCGCCACTTCTCCACCGTGCTCGGGATATGTTGCGGTCGTCCGTCATCGTCGAAGTCTAACACCTGTCCAGAGGCCACGACTGCACAGGCTGCATGCATATCTGCCGGATTTACGGTGAAGAACAGCGGGGGCCAGCCAATGGTGAGGGCGGCTGCACGCATCTTGGATCGGGCACCGTTGTAATACGCGTCTGTGAGGTCGAGGCGCAGAGTACTGAGGCGGGCCCCCTCCACCAGCGTCTTAACCAGCGGCGACTGCTGCGCAAGCAGCTGCCGCCGCTGTGAGTGCCGATACGGCAGCGCCAGTATGGTGCCCATAGCACGGATGACATCACGCGGCACACACGCTGCTGGCTCGCCAAGATGCGCACGCATGTTCATGGTAATGCCCACTTGCGCCATGCTTCGATGGCGCACGCATATGTCGTACATGCGTGCCAGCAGCATGAGATTGCCACCGAATTGTGTCCGCGGCACGCGGCGCAGCAGGTGACGACAATACGCCGGAAAAGACATGCCGCGGGGGCGCTGACCAGAAAAGCCGTACGGGAAGGACTGGGGGAAGCAGAGGGTGAGGATGGCGGGATGACGGTCATCCAGCACGTGGCTGTCACGGCCACCAGCTGCAAATGCAAGCCGCGCACGGCCAGTCAGGAGGTCTTCCACTCGGCCCGGGAAGCGGTCAATTTCGCTGCCATCATCGCCAACATTCGACGGCTGTGGCAGGATCAGCTCCAGCTCGTCCAGAGTGGCAGCTGCCGGATCGACTGCATGAGCAGACAGCAGATGCGCAAGAGCTGGGTCAGGATGCAATCCACGTGATGTGATGGCGCAGCGACGGTGGTAAATGCAGCACGGTGTACCGGACGGTATGCCAGACAAAAGTGAAATCGAAGCATGTCAAACACGTTAGAAACCATCAGAGATGTGTGAACCCTATGCTCAGCCAAGTAAGAGAATGCACGCACCTGGCGCACCTTCAACTGGCTGGTCGACATGTCCACGCAGGATGGCAGTGAATGGCCCCGGTCCAGGGTCTTGTCCTGCAATCAATAGCACACACGGAGGAGTAGTAGAACACATCACCAACGGGACAGGCGAGGGTGCCGCAGGAATCCAGCCTATCCGGCAGGTCGGGCTGTGCATCGAGATTCGTCAGCACAAGAGGAGCATTCTCTCGATGCACAGGACAGTGGCGGTAGCGGCTGCCTGGCGCAGGAAGTGCGGTACGAGGGCAATACGAAAGCAGAGGGTACACAACAGATCGCACGAAGCACAGTAACAAAATAACACACCTGCGTTCGGGGTCGGATCCGCCAGCGTAGGTTGCACCGGTCCTGCAGGATCCACGTCAGGTGCCGCAGTTGCATCAGCAAGATTGCCATCACGAACAGCCGCTTCCACCACGTCCTGGAACTGCCGCACACCTGCCGCACCCGTGCGATCGTGCAGGAAGGTGGTACGGAGAACGTTCGCCACCTCCGGATCAGTCGGCGCAAGGGCGGCATGCAACATTTCGTCGGGCACACCCGCAGCACAGCCCATGCGTTCGTATTCCTGCAGAGCATCCTCATCAACACCCAGCTCCTCCTCGTCGTTGTGCTGCAAGAAGCGGACCCAGGCGACGATGACCTGTCCTCGCACCTGTAGACCTGGCGCCTTTCGCACGCGTTCCAGCAGCTCCGCCCGGCTGCGAACCTGGTCGACACACACAACTGTAATAGCGCCGGCCAGGTCGGACGCCCGCGCCGGCAGCTGTCCTCGCAGCATATTTGGGTCAGGATTTACGACACCGATGCCGTGAGTTTTTACAGCACGCGGGAAGACGTCCGGCGGTCGGTCTGCCAGGTACATGATGAGCAACTGCTGGATTATACGGCCGCGGCCCAAAAGCTGCCCCTCCAAGAAAGTGGGCATCGGCAGAGGGTCGCCCAGATGGTTGACGCGCGGCACATCGCCAGGGTCCAGGCGCGCCAGTGCAGCCTCGGGAACTCGTCGGGCTGTAAGAGGAGGGCAAGCATGAGCAAGTAGGTCCGAGACGAATAGGAAATCAATAGGAGAGTGGGCAGCAAAGGCAGGAGAGGCAAGCATATGCTGCAGATGAATGGAACAGAAAGGCGCAGGCAGAAGGTGTGGCACCGAGTTATACCTCATAGACACAACGAACATCATGCAGCACAAAATGACTTACCACTCAGAGCCTTGTGGCAGGTGTTGCATACGAAGATCCGCTCTGCAACACCGTCGCCGACCAGCATAGTGCGGTTGGGCAATTCCGGCTCCAAACGCAGGCAGTATGGCACCTCAACACTAGCCGGGTCGTCAAGGCAAGCTCTGGGCAGCACCCGCGGAGGACGCGGCTGCTGGTCCTGCGGAAGTTGCTCGGATGGCTGCTGCTCAGCCGCCGCTGCCTCTAAATCAACAATCTCCAGCGCATCACCATCCATCTCCAATGCTGCTTCCGCCGCATCATCTACCAGCCTGCCTGCCCCGCTAGCACTGCCGCCGTCATCATCCACAGCAGCAGACCGCTCAGCCCGGCTAACACGATACCGAGCTGGCAGGACCGGATCAGGTGGCGGTGGTGCTTCTCCCTGAGCCGTACGCGCCATCCGCCGCCACACCAGAGTATGTCCCCAGCGCTGCACAGCGTCCGTGCACATGATGTCTGCACGTAGAATGTCGACGTTGGGGATATCCATCCAGGGCAGCACCGTCGACTGGTCCTCCGAGCACACTTCCGAGCACACAGCACAGACACGGGAAGGCATGCGCCGTCGCAAGGCAGCAGCCATGGTCGATGCACATTGCAGTTGTACCGTGTATGGTACCTGCCTGTCAGGCGATAACTGACCACCAGGAAGGTCCTGCACGTGGCCCTCTGGAATCGACAAAAGGAAGTCGGGCAAGTCAATTGCGGCGTCACCATGAAGGTCCGTGAAGTGCAGGAGACGGTGCATGCGAGCCAATAGGGTGTCCCTAGGGGCGACCTGCTGATCATGCCGCTGCACCTGCCGCACAGCCGCATGCTGTGCTGTGTTCAGCTGCTGCTGAAGCGCCCTCACCTCCGGATCAACACGTGCAGCTGCATGCCGTGCAGCGTCGCGCAGCCGCTGCTGTGCCCTCACCTCCGGGTCAGCACGTGCAGCTGCATGCTGTGCAGCGTCACGCAGCTGCTGCCGCGCCCTCACATCCGGGTCAGCATGGGCAGCTGCATGCTGCGCTGTGTTCCGCTGCTGCTGCTGCACCCTCACCTCCGGATCAGCACGGGCAGCTGCATGCTGCACTGTGTTCCGCTGCTGCTGCTGCGCCCTCACCTCAGGGTCAGAACGGGCAGCTACATGCTGCGCAGCGTCACGCAGTTGCTCCTGCGCTCTCACCTCCGGGTCCGCACGTGCAGCTGCGCGCCGTGCAGTGTTCCGCACCTGCTGCTGTGCTCTCACCTCCGGATCGGCATGCGCAGCGGCATGTTGTGCAGTGTTAAGCACCTGCTGCCGTGCCCTCACCTCCGGGGCAGCATGTGCAGCCGCATGCCGCACAGCGTCCTGCTGCCGCTGCAGCAGTCGTAACTCAGGAAGAGCTGCCGCACGCTGCGCAGCTTTCTGGCGCCGCCATCTCTCCCGTACATCCGCAGCAGAAGTGTCAGCATCCTGGTGGTGTCCTTCCAGTTGCGCATCTGCATCAGCTGCCGCTTGCCCGCGACCGTCCTCTGCGGGCCCCGTTGGATCGATTCGTACGGCTGTCCGCTGCCGCGCAGCAGGCTGCTGCTGCGCAGACGCTGCGGCGGGCCCCGTTGGATCGATTCGTACGGCTGTCCGCTGCCGCGCAGCAGGCTGCTGCTGCGCAGACGCTGCGGCGGGCCCCGTTGGATCGATTCGTACGGCTGTCCGCTGCTGCGCAGCAGGCTGCTGCTGCGCAGACGCTGCGGCATGTTGCTGCTGCTGCTCAGACGAACGACTCGCACTAAAATCAACGGACGGCCGTGTTCTTCCACCACGAAACCCGTCTGCAAGGGAGCCAAGCCGAAGCCGTTTCGAACCAGGCAACTGATCCGACATGAAAGCGTACCGAAGCGAAAACGTATACTGATTCAGCCGTTAAGCTGTGGTAGGTCAGAAACGGCGAGAACGCGTAGAGAAGCGAACAGAATGAGAGAAAAGCTGAAAAGTACGCAAGTGTAACGACAAGAGAATTTGCAAGGATCAGAACCGAAGAACGGCGCTGTATGAAACGCGTACGGCATTCACTCCGGCGCGGAATCGAAGCACACGGCGAAGCGGCCACAGCGCGCAGCGAACTGCAGGTTAAATCGCGCGTCGAATTACGCAATTACGAAGTATGAAATAGGAATAACGCAGAAAACACTTTCGCGGTCGCATTAAGAGAAAAAAAAAGTAAAAAAAAATCGCAAACATCCCGCCGAGGGTCGAACTGACGACTTGGTTGACAGACGGAGGGACAGACGGACGGAGAGACAGACGGACAGCCGCCCAGCCTAAGGCCTCCGCTAGACTACTACGTAGTCGCTACGGCTACGGACGGCGATTCGGCCCAAGGCCTCCGCTACCCTACTTCGTAGGAGCTACGGCTACGAAGAGACTAGAGCGCGCTGTTCCCGCGAGTGGTCCGTAGCTCCATAGCATAGTGTAGCATAGTGTAGCACATAGTGTAGCATAGCGTAGCATAGCGTAGCACATAGCGTAGCATAGCACGGCTATAGCGTAGCATAGCGTAGCATAGCATAGCTATGATCGCATATGCTTGCATATCGCATATGCTTGCACATCGAATGCGGTATATGCTTGCAGATTGCATATGCTTGCAGATCGCATATGCTTGCAGATCGCATATGTTTGCACATCGAATGTGGCATACGCTTGCAGATCGCATCTGGCATATGCTTGCAGATCGCATATGCTTGCAGATCGCATATGCTTGCACATCGAATGTGGCATATGCTTGCAGATCGCATATGCTTGCAGATTGCATATGCTTGCAGATTGCATATGCTTGCAGATCGCATATGCTTGCAGATCGCATATGCTTGCACATCGAATGTGGCATATGCTTGCAGATCGCATCTGGCATATGCTTGCAGATCGCATATGCTTGCAGATCGTATATGCTTGCAGGTCGTATATGCTTGCAGATCACGTATGATTGCACATCGCATGTGGCATATGCTTGCATATGAAGCATTTGTGCATATGAAACACATGTGCATATGTGCATACGAAGCATAGGTGCATATGTGCATATGTGCATATGAAGCATATGTGCATATGTGCATATGTGCATATGAAGCATGCATAGCGCGTACAGCATAGCGTAGCATAGCATCGCGCGTACGCATATCACAGCATAGCATAGATCGTATATGCTTGCAGATCGTATATGCTTGCAGATCACATATGATTGCACATCGCATGTGGAATATGCTTGCATATGAAGCATTTGTGCATATGAAACACACATGTGCATATGTGCATATGATATGCATATGTGCATATGTGCATATCTGAGCCATGTGGGCTGAATTGCACGCTGAATTGCACGCTAAATTGCGCGTTGCACGGCGCTGTCGCAAGCGCGTACGGCATAGCATAGCGCGTACGGCATAGCGTAGCATAGCATAGCGCGTACGGCATATCACAGCATAGCATAGATCGTATATGCTTGCAGATCGCACAGGCTTGCAGATCGCATATGCTTGCACATCGAATGTAGCATATGCTTGCAGATCGCATCTGGCATATGCTTGCAGATCGCATATGCTTGCAGATCGCATATGCTTGCAGATCGTATATGCTTGCAGATCACATATGATCGCACATCGCATGTGGCATATGCTTGCATATGAAGCACTTGTGCATATGAAACACATGTGCATATGTGCATATGAAGCATATGTGCATATGTGCATATGTGCATATGTGCATATGTGCATATGTGCATATGTGCATATGTGCATATGTGCATATGTGCATATGTGCATATGTGCATATGTGCATATGTGCATATGTGCATATGTGCATATCTGAGCCATCTTGCCGGCCGTTGCACGGCGCTGTCGCAAGCGTGTACGGCATAGCATAGCGCGTACGGCATAGCGTAGCATAGCATAGCGCGTACGGCATATCACAGCATAGCATAGATCGTATATGCTTGCAGATCGCATAGGCTTGCATATCGCATATGCGTGCACATCGAAGGTGGCATATGCTTGCAGATCGCATCTGGCATATGCTTGCAGATTGCATATGCTTGCAGATCGCATATGCTTGCAGATCGCATATGCTTGCACATCGAATGTGGCATATGCTTGCAGATCGCATCTGGCATATGCTTGCAGATCGCATATGCTTGCAGATCGTATATGCTTGCAGGTCGTATATGCTTGCAGATCACGTATGATTGCACATCGCATGTGGCATATGCTTGCATATGAAGCATTTGTGCATATGAAACACATGTGCATATGTGCATACGAAGCATAGGTGCATATGTGCATATGTGCATATGAAGCATATGTGCATATGTGCATATGTGCATATGAAGCATGCATAGCGCGTACAGCATAGCGTAGCATACCATCGCGCGTACGCATATCACAGCATAGCATAGATCGTATATGCTTGCAGATCGTATATGCTTGCAGATCACATATGATTGCACATCGCATGTGGAATATGCTTGCATATGAAGCATTTGTGCATATGAAACACACATGTGCATATGTGCATATGAAGCATATGTGCATATGTGCATA